TGTCCATGTTCTCTCAGACTCTGTCTCTACTTTTATACTTTTCAGCCATTCGTACTCCTTTCATTATCTTCAAGCCAGCTGAGGTTTTCTTTCTCGCGAATTCTCTAACATTGATAGATAAGGAAAGAAATTTTTTGGTTTCTTCGTGTTCATTGATATTTTTATACAAGACCATTTCATTGAAAAGGAATCTTTAAAAAAAAAGAAAGAATTTTTATCATTACAAATTCCTGCACAAATTTCTTTTAGAAAAAAAAAATCTAATATTTTTCCCCATAATTCCCCCCATAAATTCCTAATTCTCTCTAAAAATATCAAAAAAAAAAAATTTTTTTCTCAAAAAATCGATAATTTCATAAATACGATAAATATCTTCGAAGAAAGATAAGATAGATTTAAGATTATTCGAGATTTTCACAGGAACTCGGCAAACTGTCCTCAAGAATCTCCGGGTCAGGCCCTAAGGCTTAAGGTCAACGAGGAAAATTCGATTTGCGATTCGTTGGACTCTCGAGTTGACGGTAGATTAAATTTCACCCATACCACTTCCGGTCGTACCAACCGCCTTCTTACTCTGTATTCGCCCTCCTTCTCGAGCATGTGGGAGAGAGGGAGTACGCTAAAAACTCTCTGGTCATTAAGCGGTCGCGTCGTTAGGCGTGTTGCCAGATCTTGGAGAATTGGAAATGCAAGCTGGGTCAGCTGGGTAGAACCACGAAACGTCACTCAACGTGAAAAAAGAGAATATTTTCTTCTATTTTTTTCTCTCTTTTTCTTTTTTTCTTTTCTTTTCTTTTCTTTTTTGGAACGTCACGCTTCTTCGTGTATCTTAATGATCGCGTAGAGAGAATCGCGTGGACTGGAAACGTGGAAGCTATCAATTTACCAAGGTAGACACTCTCTATCTTTCTCTCTCTTGGCATGGTGAAAAATTAGTTCGCGGCACGTCGTGCCTCGGAAAGACACTGTTCTCACCCGTGATTAAATTGTTCCGTTATTTAGCTTCGTGAGAAACGTGTGAAGTTAGGCAGTGGTGATTAATTCATTCTTGGATTTGTGTTATTTTAATTTTCTTTATATGTATATTGGCAGTTAATAATATATTGTAATAATTTTTATATTATTATTAATAAAATATTTATGGTATAAATATTAATAGAAACTTTATTTTAGTTATATTAATAGATTTAGGTTATAAGAGTCTAACCTCACTTTTAGCCAAGTTCACAAATTCTTGGAATATATCATTTGGTTAGTGTATTAAAATAATAACAAATGCTTAAAATTTTGAGGAAAATTGATAAATTTATGATATATGAATAGATGAAGAAATTTAATATTTTTATATTACTATTTAATTAACATTAGTACGAGTTAAAATTTGTTAAAATCAAATTCTTTTTATTTATTATATATGTGATATTTAATTTTTTTGCATTTAATTGCATTAAAAATTATATGAATACATAATATTAACATTTAGATCAAAATATTAATAAATTTGATAAATTCGACGTTGAATTTTCATTACCCATAATCTCTTAATCCATCATAATACCATTCCATCATTAATCTATCAAAAAGTCTTTCTCGAAACTGACAAGTTTTCCTCTAAAACTTTTCCTACAGTTTCTACACTTATCCCTTCCTTGATTAATAAATCCAAGGACAAAATAAATCATCAATAAATTTCCTTCCTGAACAATATTCCGTATCGACATAAAAATGTGATTACAGAGCAAAACAATGTCGGTCGAAGGCGTAATCCCACTTTTCCTTCTTATATCCAAACGATGAAAATTAAACTCGGAATAGCCAAGTTTCCATTCCGTTCAATTTATGACACAATATCCTGGACCTTGACCGTAGCCTAATCTCCAACGTCTACGAGATTCTCGATATTTTAATCAAAGCAATTTCCTCGGTTTCATTTCTCTGAAATTATTTTTCCAAGTGGTGGAGGCGAAGAGGCTCGAAAGTAAGAAACCTCTCGAAGTGGCTTCCGCGTTCCGCGAGGTTAAGAGGTGAGATTTAAATTCTCAGGGGATCGACCTTTTCTTTTGTTCTCAATTCATCCTAATCTTTCTTGGCGTGAAGTATCGTGTCCTTTCAATGGGTTGAATGATTTTGAACAGACAGTTTTTGGAATTTTAATTTTGTCATAATTTTTGAATTTTTGTGATTTGATCTCTTGATTTGTTGAAACCTAACCTAAATTAATTTCTCTTTCTTAATATTGAAATATTATTTAACAATATCATTAATTTTAAAATCCTAATATTATTATGTTCTTTGAATTTTCTAATTTTGATTTATTAAAAATCTAATTTGTTAATTTAATTTAATTAGCTTAACCTAATTTTTCTTTCTTAGTGTTGAAATATTTTATTTAATGATTTTGAAGAGATAGTTTTAAAATTTTAATTCTATCATCGTATTTGAATTTCCATGAATTGAATTTCCAATATTGATTTATCAAATTTTAATTTATTAATTTAATCTAACTTTGATCTAACCTAATTTTTTTTCTTTTTAACTTGAAGAGATAATTTTGAAATTTTAATTCTGCTATAGTTTTCAAATTTCCATGAATCCAATCTTCATTCACCAAACTTTAAATTACTAACCTAACCTAATTTTTTTTCCTTAACATCATTTCGAAAAAAAAAAATAGTTTTAGATGCAATTTATGATATACTTCATTCTAACCTAACTTTATAGGATCAATGGTCTGGAAATGAAACAATTGGTTATCCGATATTGTATTTTCCCTATCTCTTTGTTCACGGATGGCACAATGCGATCGACAATGTGTCACGTGACGTGTTATTAATTCTCGCGTGGAGTGGGGGGTGAACACTTGCGCGGGAAAATTCGATCTCTTTGGAAATTGCATCGGTTGTTGGACGGAAATGCCAAATCGGGGTGGAGTTACGGCGAGAAACATACTCGTAAGTCCTCGATTAATTTTATTTCGATGGAAGCCAGGTTTCGACTTGGTTACCCGCTTCCAACCACTAAGGTTTTCATTTAAGCCAGCTGCGAAATATCGCGCGGGCTTATCCGTCGACTCTCTTCTCTTCGGGAATTTCTTCTTTTTTTTTTTTTTTTTTTGCGAAAAGTCGATGGTTATTGGATACAAAACCGATTTTATGGTGTGATACGTTCCTTGTTTTTTCCAATATGATTCCGTTTCGTTATATTTTTTTAAAATTTTTAAATATAGATGTTTGTATTTGAATAAAATGATTTCTATTGTGGATATAAGAGTATTATTTTTTAATTTTTATAAAAATTCATCAAGTATTATTATGATATTATGATATGATATTGGTTTTGATTAATATTATCTATTATTTTAAGATTAAAAAATATTATTAATGATTGCTTGCTAAGAGATAAAGATATTATTTATTTTTGCTCTCTATAAATCTATATATATGTATGTAATCATATTAAGTAAGGTGCGAGGATATTAAAGACTTTTTGTTAGAATTTTTTGTAATAGAAATTGTTGTAACTTAAAGTATTTAGGAGAATGAATTCTTGAGATAATGATAGATTATTTGGAAATATTTGAATTGTATTTACTATATGAAAATAATAAAATTTTCCGTGTAAATAATAAAATATTCCGTGTAATATTTTTTTTCCATATTAAATTACCATTTGATAAATTTTTAGATTAATAAATGTTGAAAAATTTATGATCGATATATGTGTAACGAGAATTTATGCATCGACATATGTATAATATTTCTTGTAATATAATTATAGAAGTTAACATGTTTTAAAATATTTTTTATTAAATTATTTAAATTAATTTCAGAATATCTTTATTTTAAACAAATATTTAAAATATTGAAAACTCAATTTAGATTTTATCAAAACTTTTCAATTTAACAATTTACACGAAATATTCAATTTATTTAAAAAAAATTTCAATCTGTTAAATTATTAAAGAAATCTGAGTATAAGATTAAAATTCAGATGAATTTGCATTAATTTTGTGGCAAGAAAGTAAGCATTTCTTGAAAATTACTTTCCACTTTCCTGATATGCAAATTATTTTTCAGAAGAAACGGAATGAAAATCTTCTTCCTTAATTTCACATTGAAATTCATGTCCCTCTTGATAATAAAATTATTTTCGCAACGTTGATAATTACCAAGTAACAAGTCCTTCTAAGATAAGTGCCTAATGAAGTTAATCCCGACGTTCATTGAGAACGTAATAGCATTGCAAATTTCCTGAATGTTTAAGTTTTCAAACTTTCAATTACGATTTCTTCCTTTTACACATAATTTTTCACAATTAAAATCAAACACAGGAATTTCATTAGAACTCGAAAATTATAAAAATTTCATATCTTTTGTTCTTCCTTCGCGAATTCTCTATATAAAATGTTCTATTTCATTTGGAAAGATTATAAGATTTTATATCTCAGAAGAATTGCCATTTTTGTGCAAGATCAGTATTTGTATTCAGTGTCAAGTTATTTTTCTTTTGATAAAGAAGCGAAAAAGTGACTAACTTGTAAATAAAAATGTATTTCTACTATTAAATTGATGAAAGCAGATTCATTTGCAGAAAGAAATAAAGTAAAAAATTGTTAAAATTTTTAACAGATTGATTGATATTAACAAAAATATATAAAATCCAAAATCTTTAATTTTTTAACAAATAATTAAAATTAAAACTTTTGAAGATTTTATTTTTCTTCTATTATGTTATAGTTTTTGTAATATTTTGTAAAATATAAATTATATGATTTCTTTATATAAATTTGTTTCATAAGAACAATATATAATATACAAATTTTGATTTCCTAATATTAAAGTATTCACTTTCATTCTATCTATGAATAATTAAATCTATGAAAATACAATTTTCAATCTTATCTAAATCAATCTAATCAATGTCTAAAAATTATCCATTATTTATCCTTTTTATTCTCTTTATTCATGTTAACCTATCAATTCATCTGCTTTAAATCAATTTTCTCATTTCAGAATCAGAAATTTTTCTCTATTTCTTCAGAATAAAAATATTTCATTCCATGATCATTTTATTGTAAGAAATAAGAAAATAGAATTCATCTAACCTTGAAATTATTCGCGCAGTAAATTCCATCCAAAAAGAACAAACACACCACAATTTAAAGATCAACCATAGAATATTTTATTCTAACGCTTTTCTTTCGAAACTTCTGTAAATGAATTGTCCATGCCTGCCCTCTATCGGTTGAATTTGCTTCGATCGGGCCGCCATTACGATAGCGAACCGATGAAGAAGATAAGGTTAACAATATCGAGGATATTCCCGAGCTATCGACGAGTACTATAGTTTAATGTCATTGAATTACTCTCTATTGGAAGTGCACCCTTTATCTCTGAAATTGAGTGCCAATTTCGGTTTATTAGCTTGTGGACAACTGTGATTCGATACTGAGGTAATTTTTCATTGTTGCAATATAGGTATTTTTTGATAGCTATTAAAAGCAATTTCAATCTTTTGTTCTTTTCTCGTGTAAATTTTTTATTTGCAAATAGAAAACAATAATATTTATTTATTAATAAAGGAAATATTAATTTATTAATTTATTGATTAATTTTTAAAAATGAATGGATAGAAAGAATATTTTTCAGATATTTTTTTTGTTCATTCCTCTTGAAAATTATAATTTTTTTTTGGGAAATTAATTGTAATTTATAATGAGTTACTGTAATAACATCATCATAACAATCATATTATATGACACCACTATAAACATTATGGTGAATTATTACAATGTATCTAGAATGCATTTATTCCATTAATTTCCATTTCATAGTACAATTAATGTATACTAAAGTACATATCAATTAATTTTATCAGAAAAATATTAATCTTTACTTGAATAATAGATATATAATAAATATAATATTAGAAAAGGATTATATAATAAAAAATTGTTTAATAAAAAAAAAAAAGTGAAAGATTTTTCATGGATTAACGCTTAGAGAAACAAATCTAATTAGAAATATTAAATCTTATAATAAAATCTTTAATTCTCAAAATCTTTAATTTCAAAAGTTAAAAGAGTTAAAAAAGTTCGGACAATATTAGATGAGATCGTGATGCATCGTGTTATTCGATACTTGATTTAAAATTTGATTGGTTTTGGATCAACAATAATCGAAACTTCGTCGATCACGCCCGAAATTTTCCGATCTTACCCGAATATATTTTCTATCTAAAATATATCTTTCCATACTATTTTTTTTCTCTCATAATCAATTAAATATCTAATTAATTAAATTACAATGATATATATATAAATATTACATCGAAAAATTTTAATTGAAATTATAATAGTCATATTTAAAATATCATTATTCTCAAAATCTATTAACGTTTCAGTAATCGAGGTTCCATTGTGTAATGACACTTGCTACGAAGCAAGATAAGTAAGTTCCAATTGCATGACAATGAAGAATGCTTCAAGACACCGTTGAGCTTCTTGCCGGTACTTAATACGCTCGATCGAAGAACGAATGAAAATTCCATGGAAGGGGATGGGTCTGTCATTGGCCGATAGAATATTCGCCGAGGTATTATTCAAATTAGATGGAATCGACTGTCGTCGACCGCGGGTTAGAACCGTTTGTAATAGAGCTAGGCCGGAATTCGAAATGCCACCGATAAAAGATGGGTTTCACCCGCGTTCTGAGAAGAACATTCCCCTTTGTCGTCGATACTCGTTCAACGACACGCTCACGTCGACCGAAAATTTTACGATATCTTCAATCCACCTCTGAACAGTAATCTTTTAGAGACTTTCAAAAGTATTGAGATCGGATGAAGAAATTAAGATAAGGATCGTTTCACCTTTCAACTTTCAACCTTTAAAGGATTTTGGATCTTTGTTGCAAGTATTTCTTATTTTTCTTCTTTTTTTCTTTTTTAGAGAATAATTTAAGTTAATGGATTTTTTTTTTCTTTTTGACAGATTATAAGTTTGTCATTGACATTGAGATTGAAGTCATTGTTTAAATGTAAGAGGAAGAGAATGTATTGAATATCAAAAGCTAATTGGATGAACAAAATTAAATGTACTGAGAAAGGATCTTGCTTAATTTAGATTATTTTTTATCTTTTAGATATTGAATATAATAATATATTATTATAATTATTATATATATTTTATATATATAATATTATATATATTATTATATATTATTATAATTATTGCATATAATAATATATTATTATTGATAATATCGAAAAATGTTTTTAAATATCTGACAAAAATTAGGATGAGTAATTCTGTTTCACATGAAATTTCATGAATATAATATGAAACATTATTAAATGAATTACATATGAAAAAATTTTTTAAAGTTTCAGTATTATTTTATAATGTATTACAATTTTTGTTGTTTAATCAAATATCCTGTTGTAAAAAACATTTCCAACTAAAATTATATAAAATATGAAAAAAATTAAATAAAATATTATAGAAAATGAAAAAAATTTGAGATCCTCAAAAGGATTTTATATAAAAAAATAAGTTTTATGTATAGCTCACATTCCATATATACACAAAAATATCAGATTTTTTAAATTTTCTTGTAATATATGTACATGTATGCATACATTATTTTTATATTAATTATCCATTATTTACATCTTGTGTTATAGTATCCTGAAAATTGCTGTGATTGAATCTATCTCCATGTATATTATTTTAAAAAAGAAATTTCCTAGCCATAATTTTTCGTATTTTTTAGTCAGAACCATTCCATTGTGGATATTAAAATAAAAAAAAAAAAAAAAAAAATGAGTTTCGATAAAATTTCGACCAATGGCTAATCATTGCGAAATGATTGTCGTATCGAGAAAAATGCGATAGAAATCGATCAGTTTTGAGATATTGCGAAACTCGATAATATCGATTTGAGGAACGCATCCGTTCCTGTCGTGTCATCGTGTCGTTTTGTCGTTTTGTCGTTTTGTCAATCGCAATGAAACCATACACATTCATGGATTTTATACAAATTCTTCGTGGTCGACGATGCTACGTTAAACACATTAAGTTGATTGTGATTAATAAATTTATTTTAAACAGTTTTCATGATCTATAACTTAATCTTTGTAATACGTTCGTACGAACGAATGATTGTGTAATATTGAAGCAGTGATATATTGAATATTCAGATTTTAAACAGTGAACTACTCTTGTCATGTAAGATAAAAAATTATTAATTGTAAATTGAATTTTTTTTTGATATCGTAATATGATATATAATAATATTATTTATTTTTATATTCGATTTATACATTCGATGTTTTAAAATATCGAAATATTTGATTTTTATATGTATTTTTATATATATATATTTTTATAAATTAAGGATTAATATTTAATGCTTTAATGTATCATTGATAACATTTTTTTCTTTTTTAAGAAGAAAATTTATTAAAATTTTCTCTATGCATTATAATTTATAAAAGGTGTAGTTTAGGTTAGATTAGGTTATGATTTTTCGATCGTTGAAACTAGGACGTTTAACAATTAATTGATTTTGATATGACTGTCAAACGACTATAAAGTGCATTTGAATGACATTAAGTGACTAAAATAATCACGAAATGATCCTGAATAGCTTTCAAATGATCGCGAATATCCTTTGAATGATTTTAATTATTCTATTATTTGTTCTGAATTCTATTTTATGACAATGATGCAAATTCATTAATTAAAAAATTAATATAATTCATTTTTTTAGTCAATATATATATTTTAATCAAGAATTTTGTATAATATTTTTTTTTTTATTGGTATTCTTATTCAAATATTGATATAATGAAAAAGTTAAACATAGTTATATTATTTCGTATTGGAATTACATGGAAACTTAGATTAATATTTTAAATAATTCACAAGCTATGTAAAGTTTCAAGAGAAAAAGTTTAAATGAAATACTTGCGTTTTTTCAAAGAAAAGAACTGTTGCAATGTGATGCAATGTTATTTGATTCCTTATGCATAATAATAATATTTGAATTCAAAAGTTTTTTTTTTTTTAAATTTATTTTTAAAAAGAAAAATTTATTTTTAAGAAATTTTATCATAAAGAAATTTCTTAAATTATTCTTATTTGCTATTTCCAAAAATTTATGTTTATAACACTTATTTACGAATTTTGTTCAATTCCATACAATTTTTTTTTGATAAAAATGAATATATAATAATTTTAAAAAATTAAAATAAATTTAAAAATTTCTAGTAGCATTTCTACAAAATGTATTTCACAGTTTCCAAAATTTGTTAAATTATTTCGAATCACATTATATCTTACCAAACATATAAAAGATCAAGATCTTCCTATTCATGAAATCAAACTTGTCTATTGGGACGACAAATTGGGAGTATGGACGTTATCTAAGAGTCTAGGCCATAAGCTTTACATAATACTGGTTTAGCTGAGTATAATATTGAAAGCACGATAACCAAGATGGCAAAGTGTCACGTATCTAGTGACAATCATGAAACAAGCCGTAATTAACTATACCTGTTGTTTCGCGTTGATTCGTGAGTTATCGAGCTATTCATGCATCACCCTTATGAATAATGGTCTCCATTGATTTATTCTCTACTGTTGAATGAGACATTCAATGTCTCTAAAACTATCGTTATTATTTGGTATACACATTATTTCTCTCCTTACTGATAATAATTTTATAAAATAAATTCTACAATTTTTTTATTTTTTTTATTTTTTTTTTATAATTATATTCTAGATAAAAAATATTTGATTAATGCTAGTTATAACGTTCTTGTTTTTTATATTTATGGAATTACTCATGTTATTGATTTATATAAAATAATTTTTGACATGAAAAAAATTCTAGAATAAACATCAAATTAAATTATCAATGTATTTAATTTACTATATATATATATTTAACCAATTTAATAAATTGAAATAAATTGTGATATATATAAATTATATATATTTCTAAATTTATTTTATAATTATAAATATGTAATTGATCCATAGCAACTTGAATTTGTATAAAAATTGCCAAAATTATTTCTTTTTTTTTTGAAAATTAAAAATTCAATTTAAGATTGTGAAGAATGGCATCTATCCTTAGAATTTCGAATTTAAATGCATTCCATAAAAAGTTTCTTCTATTTTAATTCACAATACTATAAATAGTAAATTTAAAAGTATAATAATCATATTTTTTAGTTAATTTTTATTATTTTAATTTCATATTTAATTGTACATACCTATATCTCTATGTAATCTTTGGCTAATTCTCATGTAATTGGCATAATCTCATGTCTTTGACATAATCTCATGTAAAATAATTAATAGTACAATTATTCTAATATTTTTAATTAAATATTACTAATGTGATTATGACAAGAAAGATGTTCTATCTATAATCAGATCTATTATACCTCAATGACATATACAATAATCCTTATTCTTTATCCTATATATTTCACTATTTACAAGATGCATCTATATTATATTTTACATTATACCCGCCCACGTAAAGTCGATTTCGAGAAATCTGCTTTCGAATTCGGTTCTGATATGATAAATATACATTAGTCCGCCAATATATGGAAACATCTGGATCGACAATAAACGATCCTGCGATAACAGGGCAAGGGAATGTGACTCGAATTCTATCCTATAAACCATGAGTTTTCACGTATTATTTGCAATCCGAATTTCACGATCGCGAGGGGGATCTAAATCAGATTACGTCCCCTATCTTATCAGAGCTTTTATGCATGGTGGAAATATAATGCCTGCCTAATTGATCCGCGCGAATCGCACATGGATTTGTTAAGCTTTTATACGATTAATAAATAAATGGATGATTAATCGCCATATCGGTAATGTAGATTTCTAACTATTTAAGGAAATTTCGAGTTAATCGAGTTGATATTGTTACGATATTATAAAGGATTCGGGAAAAATTTTAAATGCTGCGAATCGAATTAATATTGTTACTATGAAAAATTGATTTAAGGAAATTCGAAGTGTCACGAATCAAATTAATATTGTTACAACAGTATAGTAGAGAATTCTCAATTTAGTATTTAATTTCTCGATCTAAATTTTGTGAAACAAATAATCGATATTATTTTCTCACTGTCGAATGATTTTGTGAAACACTATGTGCAACAAATATTTTTATTAACCTTTCCAAACTATCCAACTTATAGCACAAAATGTACTCTCGAAATTACAGTAATTCGAGTAAAATCCTCTGTATAAATGAATTCATCATAGCCTTCTTTAAACCACCTTTGATTTTAAAAAAGGGAAACGTAACGAATCCTCTTAAACATCGCCTTTAATGTACAAAAAAAAAAAAAAAAAAAAATTATACGAAATACCGTGTGCAATTACCAGTGTCCATATGACTCGTAAAATTCCTCTAATAATATCTGCTCGATCGCGCAAGAGGGAGCAAAAAACTATCCTCCCATTCCACCAACAAAGATCAACGTATCCCTCCCCCGCTTATCTCTCGATCCTTACGATCGTTCCTTCTTCCACCACCCAAGCAACTGTTCTCTATCCTCTTCCGCGTAATTCTTTCTTTCTTCTTCTTCTTCTTCTTCTTTCTCCTTCCTTCTTCCCCCTCGAGTTATCAAGAGGGTGGACTGATCTCTCTCTCTCTCTTTCTCTCTCTCTTTCTTTCTCCATCCTGCGATCGATCCGCGGCTATTGCGTGGTGGAAACCGGTTTCATCGATCACGCAGGAGATACGCGAGAGATAGGAGAAGGCGTTTCCGCTCGTGTCGGTGCACCGTCGACACCTATTTACCGATACCTTCCCCCGGACAAAGAGTAATTGCCGGCTTTGCCGCCCCTTGTCCCGTCGTCAAAGGCTCACCCGGCCAACGGGACATGAATAATACTCTGATTTGCTTGCGTGAAAGCCGCCCCCAGGCGCCACGCGTAAATTCAACCGCGTGTGAATAACGAATTTCGGTTATCACTCCCGCCGATTGGGAGTAAGGAGTAGTTTTATTTCCCTTTTTTTTTCTTTTTTTTTCTTTTTTTTTTTTTTTTTTTTTTTTTTTTTTTTTTTTTTTTTTTTTTTTTTTTTTTTTTTTTTTTTTTTTTTTTTTTTGGTATATGCAATATACCAAAAAATATATATATGCAAGGGACGGATCTTTAGTTTTGATCGAGGATGTTGATTGCAAAGAAAAGTTAAAAAGTTAAGAAATTTGAGCATATTTTAATTTTTAAATAAGAGAGAATAATTCTGACAGTAGTTTTATGTCTCTTTTTTCTATATTTTATTTGTGATCGAGGATGATGATGGTTTTTTATTTCTCTCCTTTTTTTCTTTCTTTTTTTTTTTTTTTTTTTGGAATTCTATCATACGGTAAAACGTTGGAAAAAGAGTTCATGACAAAGTTACGTGTTTTAGTTGTTTTATAATGGAAAATAACGCGGTTGATATAATTCTGACGGAAAGCAGAATGGAAGCTCCGATTTTATTTTTTTGGAATGCTGTCATGCGTTACATTGGATGTTGAAAAACGAGTCCAAGAGAAATAATTGTATTATGTGTTTTAATTATAATTTTTTGAAACGTATTTTAAATGTAATCAGAGAAGAAAAATACTTTGATAATGATTATAGTAGAACAATATTAAATAATCTGATAGTTAAATTAAAAAAAAAAAAAAATTGAACCCTAGAAGAGAAATTTTCAATCCTCAAAATGCTAAGATATACGTAGAAAGATTCAGAAAAATCGAATCTTAATTTTCTTAATATTTAAAATAATTTTTCTATCAGTTCGAAAATTCCCTAGAATCTCTAGAAAAGAAACTCGCAAATCCTCCTCCACCACATCCATCGGAAGAAAATCATATTCCCCGCCAAATCTAAATTCCAAATATAATATAAACAAATGAAATTTATTCTGCTGTATCCACGCGAGAAAGAATGGCCTCGCCATTGCTCGCGCGGGAAATTCGAATGTACCAATCGCGTCTCCTTCCCCCTCCACTTTCGAATTCCATCGATTCCTCTCGATCGACCATTCACGCACTCACCTTTTCCTTCGCCCAATCAACCTTTCTTCTCACGTTCGCGAAACCAATCGCTCTCCCGTCACTTTCATTCCTCGTTTTATATCTTTCGCTCTCTCTCTTTCTTTCTCTCACTCTCACTCTTTCCTTGTCTCTCGCAATACACGCTTCGTTCCAACGTTCAATCTCAATCCGAATCGCAAGTCTAACGCCATTTT